CCTAAATTTACTTCAATTTAACATTTGTGTATATTTTGAGGGGCTTATGAAATATAAGATTTGTTTGGTTGGAAGTTGTAAGTCCGCAGGCATACCGCTGTGCCACCTGGGGGGGGGGGGCAAAAATATGTATTTTTAATTTATGACTATTAATAAAACCAGCAATAGTTTGTTTGTTTGTTATGAATTTCGCGCAAAGATACAAGAGGGCTATCTGCGCTAGCCCTCCCCAATTTAGCAATGAAAGACTAGAGGGAAGGCAGCTAGTCATCACCACCCACCGCCAACTCTTGGGCTACTATTTTATCAACGAATAGTAGGATTGACCGTCACATTATAACACTCCCACGGCTGAAAGGGCGAGCATATTTGATTGGACGGGGATTCAAATTTGCGACCCGCAAATTGCGAGTCGAGCGCCCTAACCACCTGGCCATGCCGGGCCAACCAGCAACTTATTAATACAAAATAATGATATTTGAATGAAGTCATAAAATTAATAGATATATACAAATTTGTATGTATATATGAAAATTTTCTGGCACGAAAGGTTCCTAAAATACCCATTGGAATAGAAAATTTCTACGAATACATTAATATATATATATATATATATGATAGTTGTGATAAATCTTTATGCCAACATTTATATTAGAAATTTTACGATTTATAATTTTCAAATGATCACGAAGTTGGTTGGTGTTTTCCCTTTTGTTTTTTGTTATTTAATGTTAAAGAAATTTTGGTTATCCGTGTTTTTACTTTGTGATTGTTTCATAGAAATCTCCAAAGTTATTAGATGTTGCAATGGCCTACAATTTATCAGAAAGAATCTATGAATCCAAGAATCCAAGTGCAAAGATACAAAATGGGCTATCTGTGTTGTGCCCACCACGACTATTGTAACCCGTATTTTAGCGTTTAAGCCTTCAGACTTATCGCTGTGCCACTGTGTGTGGTGGTGGTGGGGGGGGGTATGAAATCGAAAACTCAGTTTACGGACTTATAACGCTAAAATTTGGGGTTCGATTTTCCAAGGCAAAAAGAGCACAAATAGCCAATTGTGTAGCTTTGCGCTTACACAAATAGATCAAAGGGCAGAATAAAATATTACCCTACGTTTTATGAGAGACATTCCTAAAACCTTTCGAGATGTTGAAGATGTTGCCTGAATCGCCTTTACAAGAACTAAATCAGAAGAAAAACATTATGCAAAGGTTTCTTGTTATGCACAAAGCTACACAATAGGCTATCTGTGCTCTGTCCACCATAGGTATCGAAACTCGATTTTAGCGTCATAAATCTCAGACTTACCGCTAAGCCACCAGAGGCATTTTTGCAAAAGAAGTGGCCCAAAACAAAACATGTTTATATTTTTGTTGCAGTCAGCTCAATTCACAGCATTTGAAGTTACATATACGTTTCAGTTTTCAGTAAACTGATTCCATTATTTTGTTGTTGTTTTACTTTGCGTTCAGTTGAGTTATACAGAATAACCATTTTCTCAATATAGCCTTTGTCAATTTCGGATGATGCTATTATGCTCTAAATATATAACTCGGTGTGAAAAGTTGCTTCCTGACAAAAGTTTGAAACCTAGATTTAAATCACAAAAAATAGTCGATGTATTTTGAAGAACAAATTTAATTTTTCCAAGATTCAGAATAGTATCTGGATAAAGTATTGGAAAATTTATTAAAAATAATAAGGACAACCATTATCTGAAAGTATAATCCCACGGTCTGTTACTTCCTTTTCTAACTTCAATTACATGCTTATTTTTTTTAGGTTGGAGTAGAAGATATTATACTTTCTCAAAAGGTAAACAAGAGGTTCTTTCTTACTTTTTCTTTGGTATGACCTGGTGGTTAGGGAGCATAACTCGCAATCTGTAGGTCGCAGGATCGAAACTCATTGCCGAACATGTTCGGGGGCTATATAATGTGACTGTCAATTCTATTATTCGTTGGTAAGAAGTACTCCAAGCATTGCCCTGTGGTCGGCAGTTCAAAATTAGGGATGGCGACAGGTAATCTTAATAGCTTTGTCATGAGACAAACAAACAAACAACACATTTTTACGTTTGCTCTTGACATATAAATAACTTAGTGTTATCAGAAAGTGATAAATTAAAACTGTTTATGTCGAGTACAATAAACATTGTTAGCCTATACAGATGGTTGAGTACGTTATATTAAAACGATTTGAAATATGTAAATAAATAAGTCACGTAATAACTACAGCCCATATAAAGTCGTAGTAAAACGGCATGTATTAGATCTAAAAGTTGACATTGTTTGACGTAGGGAATGTAATGCAACGGCCAAATATTTGTACACTCAGGTCATAAAGATATGCTCGAATTGAAGATTTAGTATTTCCAAGACGGGAAAATCCCTTATACTTAATGGAATTGGAAAAACTGTGAGTATGGGTCAAGCACCTTGTGGCACACGAACATCCAGAAAGACACCTGCAACAAATCGTTCTCCAATAGTGATAAACGAGGTGCAGCGACTTGGGACAGGTGCTCCTTTGTTCTCCAATGTTATTAAGTACAAGGGATTTTCCAGTCTCGAAAATTATAAATACCGATCTGAACACACCTTTATTATCAGAATGTATGAATATTTGCGTTGGAAAGAGTTTTTTTTTATATACTCTTCGGAAAAACGGACACTTTTTTTTGGTGGTATTACCCTACCTAAATCAAGCCAAATAGTGTTCGAATGTAGTTATGATAGATCCCGTTCCATCGAAAAAATATATCGACCGTGGTCGTCACATGACTTGCTGATTTACATATTTAAAATCGTTTCATTATCAGGTACTCAATCCTCTGTAGATTGTCTCTGGTTGAATAGTAGACTGAAATGCTCGAATATGTGGTAACACTAATTGGCATCAAAATAAGAGTTGAATGCTACAACAGTGGAATCGGTGGTTCACAAGATGAAGATGATAGAAATTATAACGATCTATAGTAGTTATTTATGGAGACGTGCCTCTTCATTTTTTTACAAAATATTATTAAATAACTGCCTGATCACTTTAATAAATTCTCTATTTAATAATGAGTTGGCCAACTTTTCTCCGCAACAACTGCTTGAACTCGATGTGGCATAGTCTCCATAAGTTGTTGAAATTTATGTATCCTCCCATCATCATCATGGGCCCGGCATGACCAGGTGGTTAGGGCGCTCGACTCGCAATCTGAGGGTTTGAATCCCCGTCACA